GGAGTGTGCCGCAGTTGGGGATGGAGTGTGCCGCAGTTGGGGATGGAGTGTGCCGCAGTTGGGGATGGAGTGTGCCGCAGGGACAGACAGGGTTAGGTGGTTGGGTAGGGGACAGGTTGGAGGTTAGCCAGTCATGCACTAGGAAGAAGGAAACTTGCAGAGAGGAGAGAAGGAGTCTGTGTGGAACTGCCTGTAAGAAAAGGAGTCAGTGCTGTGTGGAGCTGACTATGAGGAAAGGAGTCAGAGTTGCCTGAAAGAAGTCCACTAAGAGAAGGCATGAAAAGTTTTTAATAGAGGATTGATGGTGTTCATCTTGACATAATGACTACATATATATATATATATATATATTCCTATGGGACCCCAAAATACAGACCTTGACAAAACTTTCCAAGCCAAGGGAAGATACCCGTGATTTACTGGCACAACTGCTGTGCCCACCCTCACAGAGAGGCACAGCAAAAGCAGCACGTGAGGGAGGCGCCGCCTGTCCCGTTACCTGCAGGAGGTTTGTCCTGATGCGCTTGTCCGTGCACTGCTTGGCCACCTCCTTGGCGAGCCGGGTGACCTCGTCGGACGCCTTGGCGATGTCCTTGGCGCACTGGATGAGCGCGCGCTTGTTGCCGCTGCCGCCCCTGACCAGGCGCGACATCTCGGCCATGAGCAGCGCCATGCGCTTCGCCGCCGCGATGATGTCATTGCCCTGCACGGAACGACACGGTCACTGCACCGCCCAGGGCACTGCGCGCTGCCGTACCAACACTCCCACAGGTTAAGGATGGAAGAAGAGGTTTCTTCAAGGAACAGGGAAGAGCTGTACTAACTACAGTGTTTCTGACTTTGCTTTTTTTCTTAACACTCAGGGGAAAAATCTCACTTCAACACTGAAAAAGAAGTTGCAAAGTGTTAGTTGGTCCATGGAATGAGTTACTGCTCTGATGACTAGATTTTAGGATAAAGCATGTTATTAGCATTTGAAATTCCAGATTCCAGAAAAAGACTTCTTTTAAAGTTAAAAAATGTGCTAAACCAGTTGTAGTCATAACAGTTGAGCATGAAATTTTCAGTAGCATCTGCAGTAGCTGTGCTGCTCATAATGCTAAAGGATAAACGAAAAAGAATCCAACACATAAAACTTCTGTCACCGGTAACGTGGAAGTGAGAGGCAACTTATTTATAAGTTATTCCTTGAAAAAATATCTTTTTTCATACAACCTCTCCCTTTAAAGTAAAGCCTCCAGGAGAGAAGATGCATTCTCAAAAGATAATCTAGTGATATTTCTTATATTCAAATCAAGATTTCTTGTATGTCGAAGTTTACAGTCACAGAAATACATCTGAGAAATATTTGATATGTGAATTAATTGTGACCAAGGCAAACCCATTTCTTATACACTGTTCCAAAGAGAAACCTAGTGCAAGGGAAAGCAGACCTAGCTGATTGATCGTTAGTAGTCTGTCAGTACATTTAGTATATTTCTCTTATTCCCCTTCACAGAAAGTTGTTAGTCAAAAGAGAACTATTTGGTGCTTTGAAGCATTCCTATTTGTGATGAAATAATAGCAGAGTGAGTTTAAGTATTAGTACTCACTTTCCCTGGAATAATCCCACAGATAATGACCAATGAAGTTCAGAGCAAAAAATTACACAGTGAGAACCCAGTTGAGACAAGGTATCCTCTGCCCTGTGCACACACTTGTGTGGCTCACTCTGAGCAAGTTCAAGATGACATCCCAGGCATTTTACACATACAGTGACCCAAACAGCTGAACTATTTGTTACCGTGACCTATTTGCTAAATAGTTTGCTACTACAACCAGTTAGGATATAAATGACATAACACAAAGCTTTTCCATGTTTTCACGTAGAAGGATCAGTGTCTAACAAGTTATCCAAGCACCAGAATCTGAAAAGGACAAGAACATTTTTAAAGCCCTTTTTATTAAATGGTTTAGTATAACTATCTAGGTAAGTAAGTATACACACACACATATGCACACTCCCCTAACATTTGTTTGTTATGGGACACCAACCTTATTTTTTGCAGCATGCTATGAAAAGTGCCCAATCTTGCAAACATTTGTGCTTAGACAGAAGACAGGCTACTTGTGAATGTCTGAACCTCGTTAGATTTCCACTGGTTTCATATAGACAGGATCTCAATTCAGCAGCTAACAGCATTCAGTGCAGCTTCTTCAGACAAGAATTCTCTCAAGACCAGCGTTTGCAATACAGCCCAGTGCAAGCCAGCAGACAGGCAGTCTCTTCCATAAACACTGCCATACAAAGCCATTCCTTGTTGGAAGGGATGTTAATTGACGGCATCAATTGAGGCCAAGCACAATAGACACCTTAAATGACTTCTTGAATTCTGTATACTTTGCTGTATCCGGAAGTCATTAGGAAACCATTAACCATGGCTTCCCAGGTAGCCAACATGAATAGAAAAAGGAACCAGAAGGGGAGGAAGACAATCCCTATTTATAATTTTAAAACTGCCATAACAAAGAAGACCAGGCAGATGCAAAGGGAGAGGAAGTCTTTGAATATTAATAAGTGACCCCAATCAAGCTTCAATCCGGTACTGACAAACAGATCTAGCAAACTCGTGAAGCCACTCTCAGTCCTTAAAATGAAGTGCAGACACACTTATTCATTCAGGATGGCGGGGCCCAGCAGGGATCAAGAGTGGTGCAAATGTGTCAGCGTTCCAAGTGGCCGGATGCACGCGGATCAGTCCCCGGGGACTCAGGAGTACCTTACTAGACCACTTGGTTGCTTCCCGATGTAGAGACTGAGCAGCAGCCAGAATGGGCTGGTTAACGGGCTGATTGGTTGGCATTAACAGCAGCTCAGGCTCGTAATCATCTTCAATGTCATAGGGGAGAGTGAATTCAACATCTGCATCATCCTCCTCATCTATATCTACACCAGCCTCAGCCGCTTCATTAATCACAGTCACATCAGGCTTTGCAGGTGGCAGCAAGGGTGGAGAAACAGGGGACAGTTAGTACAAGAAGCAGAATTTGGTAGAAGAGCACAAACTCAGCAGTTTTAGTGACCAAAACATCCTCTTGGCCTCTCAGGATCTGACAAGGCAGCTCTAAGATCAGGTCAAGGGGAGGACGGGAAGTAATAAAAGATCAGCAGAAAGAAACAAACAGTTCACCTGTAAACCAAAGTTATCAAAAATAGTAAGAAGTTATAATTCAAATATGCAGCAACATTTTCCAGCTGAGCATTCAGCTTCTGCAGACAGAGGCTGACCCACAGAACAGCATTTTACTGACAGGTGAACAATTAAATGAATGGCTTTTCTGTCTCAGTGGAAGCCGTTCTGACTGCACAGGAGCAGGCACAGCAGCTGATGACTGTGGTGTCTGTGCAGATACAAAGCTTTGTATGGAAGCCCATTCATATGTGTGATAAGAGCAGATAGCAGCAGAAAAGCCACTGACTGTTGGCTGTAGAGTAAAAAAAGAGATGGGATGGAAGACACTGTAGAAGCGAAGTACTGAGGTACCACACAGAACATGTAAAAGAGCAACACAGGGTTGGAAAAAGAAGGTGATGTTGAATGCCATGAATACTGTGAATATTACAGTTCTTGAAGACTGAAAATGAATTAATTTAAAAAGAGGATTATGAAGCATATGATACTGTTTTGCCATGATATGTTGTATCCATTACCTTAAAAAAAGAGAAGGTTCAAGCAAACAAATTATGTTAGAGAAGTTCTCAAGGAAGAGGTAAGAGGTATAACAATATAGGCATTAATAAGACAGCAATATTTCAATACAAAAATAGCCTACAAGTTTACTAACTCTCTTTCTTCAACTAAAGCCAAGTATGATAAAAGTAAAGGTACCCTTACCAAAAACTGCAGTTGCAACTGTGTTTTGCCTAAGATATGGCCTTTTATAGGAAAAATATCCATCTTTGTTAACAACAACATACAGGAATTTTGGAAGTTCTAACACTTGTAAGGCCAAATCAACTCAAATTAAAGCAGCCTTGGAAGGTAAGTCAATCTAATGAAAAGTATCCAAATATCCCTCATTTTCTGATTTATTCAAATGAGGGAGAAGCCAGGGAAACTAAAGCAACATACATTGTTCAGTTCATGTTCCATGAGAAAAATGGAATATGTGAAAGCCCAGAAGCTTTCAGTGAAGAGCAGCTTTCGTAAAGGAGTAAAAACAGATTTGCATTCGTAGAAGAATGAACAATGTTATCAACATTTTTTTAAAGACTAAGTACTTGTTCACCCATCCCTGCCACTTTACTACAGGTAAAGTACCAGTAGACTAAAGTGATCAGTAAAAAGGCAAGACAGTTGACACACAGTCTGTTGGGACTTCATATATGCAAGACCTCATAGTTCTGTTTTACCAAGTCTAGCCTATATTCCTCAGTAGCACTATCCATCAATCTCTCTCTCAACCAGTCAAGTGAGTTCAGAGTTTTAATAATAGAAAAAACAGGCGAGTTTTAAAAACAGAAGTGTTTTGTGGATTTTGGATTAGAGACACCCAGACAGACTTGAAGAAACTGGTCTTGTATTTTATTTGTGCTTGCAAAACAGATTTTCCTTTAGTGCAAAGCACTTAAGTTGATTCTGTAAGCCACTGATCTCCTTACCACCTAATTTAGTGCAAAGAAAGGGTGAGATTATAAAAGCCAAATTGTGACCCTTAAATTTAGCTAAATCTCTGAAGTTCTTACTCAGCACTCAGCTTCTGCCAGAGGAAAAAATGTAGCTCTTGGGGGGAAGGAGGGAGAAAAGAGAATAGCAAAACAAAGTGATATTAGCATTTATGAAACCAACAAATTCACACTTCCTCATAGCACTGAAATGGGAAGGAAATTCAGTATTTCAGCCTTAAAAGCAAACATGACTCACTCCAAAAAAAAAAAAAATGAGACCAGGTCGCCTATATGTGGTCATTTTTCCCATCATAAATGCATCAGATGAACTGCAAAGTACCTTGCAGCTTCTTCCAGAATTAAGACAAACCAGGTCATGATTCCTGCAGCTTGGATCTGCAACATCCATATGGACTTTCCCATATAGACATTTCAAAGTCACTTAAATAGAGCAAATCAGCTTGTCAGCCTGCACAAGCGTAAGTATTAGTGACTCTCTAGGCAATACCAGCACCAAGGATCACCAACACCTTAGCATACAGGGTGTATCTGTGTTCCCAGAGCTATGTTAACAAAGTCTAGCAAGTCTAAGTATTGTTAACCCTAGTTCACTCTGATCTTGAAAGGGTTTGTAATCCCTCCTACAGCAGTGTTTTTACTACTTATTCTGTGAAAGACACTGTCGTAAGTCAAAACACACTGATCCTGAAAATAAAAGAATCCTTTTAGCACAAAACACTTACAACAATTTCTTACCTTGCTAGACCATTTCCGGGCTTCATCATGCAACTGTCTGGCAGCCATCATCATGGGCTGATTGATTGCTTCTCCTGCCTTTTGCTCAGGGAACTCTTCATCCTTTTCTTCAGGTGGTGGTGGTCTGGGCGGGGGAACCTCACCCTCTGGCAGCGGGGGTTTCGGAGGAGCGAGCTCATCAGTCAGCTAAGGAGGGCAAACTTCTTATTGAGTGCAATGAAATACAGCAAAGATTGAGTGAACAATGGTGTCATGGTAAGACATGACTGTATGGCCTCAGTTTTTCAAGTGCTCCTGTTACAGAAAATACCATGTTTTTAATCTTTTCTTTTGAGGAATAATAATATACCTAAGTCATTTCACTGTAATTCACATGTCAATGACAACTGTATTTTACTACAAACTATCTACACTTACATGAAGGTGCTCGAGGTCAGGAGGAGGAGGAGGAAAATCTGGTTCCTGAGGCTGGAAGGCTTCTCTGACTTTGGCCACAGCTCCCAGAATTTTGTATCCAGAATCCAAGAAACTCTTCTGCAAACCTGAACAAAAATTTCATTACAGTTTAATACCAATTTAGTAGAACTTGGTAATATTTAGAACACTACCCCCAAAAATTCCTTCAATAGTGTTCTGTGCTAAGTACACTTATGTGTGTGTTTAAAAACTACCAAATTGTTTACAGCAGACTTGTATGCTTGAAATGTTAGTGTCATATGCAACATGCATACAATAAAGCCTTGGCTGAGTAATAATCACTAACAATCACAATAACAGCCAAAGTAATTTGCTGAACAACTTTCAGAATAAGATAAAATATGTAATACTTTCTTATATAAAGTAGTATTACTTGAAACTAGTAACAAATGCTTCTAATTAAGAATATGAAAGCACATATCATAAGAGAATGCAGAATCCTTTTCCCTTGAATATGCCAAAGGCCTTTGATTGCACTTTAGAACAGCAGGATGCAGCAGTTAATAGTGTGAACTTGATTTCATCCTTCTGGGATGTAAGTGTACACCATACTTACATAAAAGGAGATACACAGCTGTATACGAAAAGCTGAGCACTACTTCACATCATCTCCAGTCAATAAAAGGCACATTTTAAATTAGCTGACTGAATCCTTACCAGGATCAGAAATGTTGCCTGCCACAGCTTTAGCATCCATTACCATGGGTGATATAGTTTTGCTCAGCTCATCAGAGGCTGCTTTAACAGCCTCCCGAAATTTAGGGTCTTCAGAATTTTCCACCTCCCGTTTTGCAACCAGCAGGATGCGGTTTGCTCGTCTGGCAATGCTGGTGGCACCAGCTACCAGCATCTGAGGCTGCATGTTGGCCATTGCAACTTTACATTTATCCAGGTCCTTCTTAATGGCCTCTTCTGATGCATCCAACAGAGATTTAGTATCAATGGCTTCATCCACCAACCCTAGAATAAAAGTTAAATACATTAATATTCTAGTTTCATCTGTGGAAAGGGATATTTGGTATTCCAGAGATAGTTCTAAACTAGAAAGGTATTTTAAAAGTGGGATGTGGGGAAGAGCAGAAGAGGACATGGAAATCAGACCAAAGTACTGCTGCAGTTTAACTTCTGATTCTGTTGTACCTCTGTGACAGTTACCATGGTGAAGCTTGTTAATGACACCCCAAGCTCTTACTCCTCCACTAAGCAATGTTTCAGTCAAGAACTGGCTTTCACAGTATATGCAGAGATTCATTCTTCACACTAAATTTCTTTAAGCATATTCAGTACTTTTTGTACTCTCATTCATTCCAAAGGAAATACCGCTCTGGATGTGCTTTTCACATAGGGGTGATTCATAGTGACAAGGCAGTGAGATTTAAAATACCCAGGATTTAATTACTGGGATGCAGGAGGAGGCAGTACACAGTCAGCTGCTCAGCAGGTCAGTGCAAAGGATCTGCACATGGGAAGGACTGAAACCTTTCAATGCCTCAGCAGGATCAGGAGCTTTGTATTCTTCTCTGTGTTCATCGAGCTGTTACAATATTTTGAACATGTTTTCTTTCCTTCAGTTAATTATCTGTCCTATTTCAACATGCCAACATTATATAGAAGAAAATCTCAAGTTGTCATAGTGATATACTGCTAAAATAGCAACCACAATAAAAAATGATGGTATCCTGATTTTTCCCAAAAAAGAACTAAAGTAGGACTTGCTTTTCTACAGCTCAGTATTGACAGATAAGAAGGCAGCTACTTTGTAGATCCTATAACATATACATATTCCTGGTGTCAGAGAGCACATTCCCACTTATCTTATTTTTAGTCAGTCATTATTCTTTGTGTGTTTCATCAGTCCAAACAGAATGGAGAAAAATCTATACAAGCTAGTTAGCCACAGGTAGGATCTTCAACAAAAATTCCTACTTTACCTGTCATTTTTTCTACATTATCAATCCATTGGTTTTTCATGGTCTCAAAATGTTCATAAGCAGCTTGATTTCCAGGATTTCTCAAGAGGATCCGAGCTGCTGATACTACCTGCCAACAGACGACATTTTTAATTGTCAGTACACATCAGCATTATGCACATCCTTGAAAATGCATTTGTTTTTTCAGGACTGGTGTGTAGCTCCACACATTTGAAAATTCATTAATTCTAGTGCAACATCTAGCTCCTTGAAGATCTTCTGAAATTAGCTGGCACAAGTACGTTTTTCTGGAACTTCAATTATGTACTCATTTATCTTCTAGACAACTCTTGAAACCATAAAGTACAATACTCATTACACTACCAACATTTTGATATGTTTATTTTGGAAAAAAAAAAGGAGCATTTTTTCCACTTGCATATTTTACTAAGCCTCAAAATCATTTTATTTCAAGTATAAGTTACAGATACTTCTGTGCAAGAGTTGAAGAATAAAACGTATCATTTGATCATTTTGTTCTACTTAGTATCAGGTATAGACATATTTGCCATTCCCCTTTTAAGAGTGCCAGTACTATGTTCCCTGTTGGTATTAACAACTTTTTCTGAGAACAGAAGCATAAGGAAAATCGCCCAGAAGTCATCCCCAGCCTTTAAACCCAGCAAGCACCTGTGGGGTGAGTTCCCTTGCTGATTTTACTGTTGCCTGAATGCCTTCCACAGTAGTTTTATTGGCAGTTCCAACTGCAGCTGCTTTTTCTGCTGTAGCTCCCAGTCTAGCAGCATGATTTTCAAAGTTTGCTGCTCTTTCATCAAACACCTAGTTGTCAAAAGAGAAAAAAACATTTTAAAAAACCCTCACCTCCTTAACAGAATACACAATTTCCTCAAAGTGTCAGACACCTTCATAACATCCCTACTTAACTCATCCTGAAAGGATGCAAAAGGACACAAAAGCTTTGAAGGTATTTGGTTTTTTAATCTTTACATTACCAGACTTGCTTCTTTACTATCTCAATGAGACAACTAAGGAGATGTATATACACTTTATAGCTTCAAGGTATGACGTTCAGTACTTCCTGATGACTGCTGCTGCAGGAAGTACTCTATTAAAACTATTTTAGCTCAGATATTCATCTTCAAAACCACAATACAAAAGTAACTATATTTGAAAGATAAATAAGGGGATTTACACCAAAAATTCACATTGAAAAGAAATTCCCTCTGTTTATAATCCTTAGATATTCAAGAAACAGAATACTTGGATAAAAAGCTATCCTGCAATGAAGCTGAATTCTTCCAAAGCCTTGGGAATTATGTTGATCATGTAGCCAAAAGCCAAAACAGCCAAACAGAACTGACAGACATTTTAGGTACTTCATGTGCAGCCTGTGGCTTTCAAGTACAGGAAACAATATCTAGCAAGAGAGCAGGTTTAATCTGTTGATTAATTCTGGCATGAATTTGACTATTGTAATCAACTCATGTAATGCTGAGATATAAAAATCCACCAACTAGTGCATTAGGGATTTTTGCACAAGAATTTTGTAGCCCACTGATAGCAATGTGGTAATGACAACACAGGGAGACATTTTTGCCATTTCCTGAAGTCAGGGGCAGCACTGTTTCCAGGGTTATACAAATTATCCAGGAGTCTGGAGAGGTTTGCATAGTAATCATTATGTTGTCAGAATTAATAAGCATGTATCACAAACTTGAGAAAAAAAATACCAATTCATTTTTCAGAACACTGATTTGTTTTTCAAAATACCAATTCAGGTAAAATTAAACAATAACTGAAGTTTTATATGGAAAGAAAAGACCACCTGGCTATACTTGCCTCATCTCTGTTGGGAGCATCAGAGGGAGCAGTAGCTGCTACTGCTAACAATTTAATAGGAGTTGTGGTGTCACTAAAAACATCAGAAACTTCCTGGGTCATTGCTTCTTGCATCCGTGATTTAAGATCCTTTAAAAAAGTGGAAAATTATTAGCATATGAAAGATATATAAAGTTGTAGGTGTTCAAATATCATAAAACCTTCTCTTGCAAAAAAAAAAATCCCATTCCAATGGCAGACATTAAGATAAAATTACCTTACAAGTATGACCAATTAGTCACCTTTTACATAATTTGAAATATACAGAGCTTACATACCCCACTCCTTGACGCAGCATTAGAAGCCATTAACAGCATGATTTGACACCCTGCCCCTCAAATTTGCAATGCTAGCATACTATTTTATTTTAAGAGAAACTTATATTTTTCTTCTAAACTGTTCATTTGAAATTAAGCCTTATGGCACGATAACAAGGCCTTTGTAGAAAGTTTGCTTTGAACACCTGAGCTAAAGCAGCAGGTGTGTAGCTGTGTTTCCATGGCTGCCTCCCACACTGAAGGCTTGCTGAAGGAGTGAAGTCCTTACCTTGAGCGAGTCCTGGAGCTGAGCAGCAATGGCCCTGGCCTGGGGGGACTCTCCCTCCCCTCGAGCAGCCAGCTCAGCCAGCTGTGCCGACAGCTGCTCCACGCGGTCACACTTGGCCAGCAGGTCCTGCCGGTACGGGCCCATCATGACGTTGGCCAAACGCCGGCCCTCGGCAACCAGCCCGCGGATGGCAGCCTGGCCTGCAGGGGACAGGGACCCAGCATTAACACTGCCACAGGCAGAGGGGGAAACCAGGGCACCACCGAGTACTGCACACACACGTGCACACCTCCAGGTCTTGGCGTTTAACAACACCTGTCTAGGTGGTAGAAAAGATCTTGTGCAGTTTATCACTGAATAATTACAGTTCAAAACCACAGAGGAATTCAACTGTCACCAGTTGCCTTTTGCTTAATACAGCAACTCTGGCTAGAGATCAATCCTTTTTAACTAGAGTGGTCTGACAAAAATTAACCATGGCAGCTGTCAGGTATTTCTAAATAACTCATCTGTCAACCCCAACAGAAAGCACTTGCAAATTCCAAACACTGCAATTCATCTCCACATCATTTTCAGATGAGCAGCAAGAAGGGAAGAAAAGACAAGTACATAACTTTAAAAGCCAAATGCCCTCTTCCAGAATTCCAGAAGCCATAAGTAAGAAGTGTCAAGTAGTCTGGATTGGAAGGGACAGTGGGGATAGCAAACACCTAACAAAGCTTCCACAGTGTGTTGAAAGCTTTTCTGTAAAAAAAAAAAGATTATTTTTAGCATGGGTAATTTCCTTCATTCACTTCCAGATGCTTCCTGCTCATTCACAGGAATGTAATTCTCTGTTCTTTCAATAATACAATAGCAGTATTCTTTTAAAAGCACTCATCATGTATTAAGTCCATCAAAGACCTACTGAAGAATAATTTTAAGCTAATGCTAACCCCACAAGTAATTCAAGTTTGTGAGCAAGCTTAATATTACTTAGGAAGTTGTCACAGTGCCAGACTATCCAAGAATCACCCAGCACTGCTGCCACCTTTTATATTCTTAAGTTACTTTTTTTACAAGTATCCTGTCAAGTGCCAGCAACTCCTGAACCACAGTTGTATGGTCATTGAGAGCATACTGGAATTATCAAATCCCCTCTCTCTTTAGTTTTTAGCATTCTCTTCAGATAACCCAGAAACCATACAAGTTATACTTTTAGCTCAGGTTTATGAATGTTCTTCTCCCCTCTGAAGGACTTAATCACTCAATTTGCTGGAGTAGATATAAATTCAAATTTGAGATACAATACTTGCATAATGAGAAAAATCAAGGAACAATCTTAAGTTTGTCTTCTCTACAGCACATGTTCTTCCATTCTTTAGGAAAGAACACAAAGAATCATGGGCCAGCTTAATTCTGTAATTGCAGTCAGGATTTAGGTATAAATCTTCAAGTCTCCACACCAGTGAAGATTCAATGCATCCTCAGCATCTCAGGAGCAGTAGTTTCCCCAAAAAAATTAGTGACAAGTTGGATTCTAAAACTGGGAGGAAAAAAAATCACGGAGAAACACTTACCTACTCCTCGATCAGCAACTGTAGGATTGTCTATCCACCTCTGAGCTTGTTCAATCTTGCCCTCCAGATGGACAGCTGCTTTAACTGGCCTTGTATTTGCCACAGCCCTGTTTGTTTTGGACTGTAAATTCTGAAGTGATGTAGCTATTTGCTTAGCCAAGGCACGGGCCTCAGGAGAGTCACCTTTCCCACTAAGGATAAAAAAAGAAAAAAGTGTAGTCATATGAAGATCATTTACAGATTATCTCAAGTTCAGCAGGAAGACACAATAAAAGGCACTTTATTTTTAAATAAGGTTGAATTTTACACTTGGGTTGAGACTGTGAGCAGCACTTCTCTGCTGTGGTACCTGGACATGACCTATGTTCAGCACAGCACTGAGGTGGGGGAAGGCATAATACTGTCATTGCCAATACTGGTGTAAGAATTGATTTCCCATTTCCATGGCTGTCTTATGAGCAACTGCAATCATGCCATGCAGATTACAAGCAGAAGAGTCAGCAGCCACAGACCAAAGGCTATATATAAACTTGACAAAAGGTAGCACATTAAGACCTACAGCAGCTAAACCTCAATAAAAACTTGATTAAAGCATCTAACTAATGAAGCAAGAAAAATATTTATTGCTATATTGCAACCAGCCTTAGGTGAAGATCACAGTTTGTACAATAACTTTCTCCTCTTCCATTCTCAAGCAGCCAGTTTGCAAAACTGATAGAGAAATATAATTTCTGAAAGTCTTATCTTTTGTGTAGCTTGCAGTTACAGCTCAGAACACTGACAGTGATGCAAGTGGTAGATATTCCACTTTGATATTTAGTAAACGGCTCAGCAAAAGCCAGTGATGACATTTATCTGCATAAACAAACTTATTTCTCATTACCTTGTTTTGACAGTATAAACAAGCTCACTTTTGGCTTCAGCTTCCTCCTGAAATATTCCATAGGCAGTAGAAGAAAATACTTCTATGGAATACATCTCTGGTTACCCTTTTTTAAAGGAAGCTAGTGCAAGCTAGGCTTTGAGATAGAAATCACTAGGCTGAACAACTAACAAGGGTTTATTTTCATCATCAATATTCTGATCTTGCTCAGCATGGTGAGCTGCACATGAAGGCCATTCAAATCAATCAATGGTGACAAAACAAATCCTTACTGTCGTCGCAGGTCTGACAGCTTGGCTGTCAAAGCAGAGATTTCCCCCAAGGAACGAAGGATATCATCTCTTTCTTTAGGCTCCTCACATAGTTCTGCAACTTTCCTTGCTTCATTCATAATTCCCCGAATATGCTCTTCTCCTTCACTGCCCCCATTAGGATCTGCAAGCCAATTCTTGACAGAAAAGTTATGTACAATTGAAGACTAAAAGTAATGTTTATTTTATACATGCTTTTATACAGAAAGAAATACAAATACAGCTTTCAAAACTTGATTTAACAGAAAATACTTCTCAAAAGCAATTTCTGGTTTTTAGATACCATGAAATTATTCTATTGCCTCATTGTTTTTCTGTTTTGAAAAACAAGGTCAAACTAGATAAAATCTACCCAAAGATTTTATATTCTATCTGTCCCCTCAGCATTTGCCAACAATATTTTAAAAGCACAACTGAATCACTGCCTTTAGAAACTGATGATGTGACTTTCAGAAAAAAATGAAAACGGATGCTCTTGAGCCCAGGGTGGTACTTCCACAGAGCTCTTCCTAAAAAGTCCCATTACCATTTCATTTGATACATATGTAATATTAATGTATCTTTATATATTGATAATAGACACATATACACATTTAGATAATGTGTATATAGAGAATATCCATTATTTGATGACCATCATAATCATCACTGGGTAAGAGACTGACCATTGAGGGATATTAAGAGTAACAAAAATAAAAGATCAACTGAAAGAAAGTGTAGTTTCATTAACATCATTTCTGTCATTAATAAGAAGTTCTAAATCCTCAACTCCACTCCCAAAAAAGGGCTCTGGTTTTACCCACAAATAAGTCTGTTCAATCTGAAACTCTTCTTTAATATGATTAGTTTATATGCCAATTCAAGGTGTTCCATCATTTTAATTTAACAACCTTGACATTTTTAGTAATGCCAAGTAAGTAGCCAAAAAAGGATCATCAACAGAAGCAAAACTTCCCATACGCTGTAAATGACTTAAATTAAGATTTCTCTTTGTTAAAGCACGTATCCCCTCTATGTTCTTCCTATCAAGTAACTGCGTTTTGTTTGGAACCAGCTCCAGCAGTTCAGTATACCAGCTCCAGCAGCAGCACTGTAATCACATTCTCAGCTATCTGTTAATCACTAGTGGTACCTGAGCAGCATCGATCTTCTTAGCAATTGCCTGCTTGGAGTTGGTCATGGCCTCCAGCTTGCGGGCTGCATTCTCCACCTTGGCAGTGAGCAGGTCCAGGCCCTGGGACACCTGCTGGGCTTTCTGCATAGCCATGGGTGTAGCACCCTGTCCTCTGCCCCAGACAAAAACAGCACCACAGATTCAGCTCATGATTGACAAAAGCTATTTTCTAGTGAGGAGGGAACAAAACCTGTTTATGAGTATTCCCAGCAATTATTGCAAGGGATATAGTATTTAATCAGGTTTTGTTTCCTCCTTAAGGAAACAAAAAACAACCGAGGAACAGAAGAAGAGATACAACCCAAGAGCATATTTTCCCTATTCCAGCATGTGACATTTAGCATCCTCAGAAGAATAAACATTTTTTAAGTGTCAAAAAGTAAAGCCATTTAAGGATACAGTTCCATTAAAGCATCCAGGGCAAGGCCTCTTCTCCCCTCATTTACAGACTGCTGCAGAGTCAGAATCTGCAGGAGTTAAAGTCTCACCACATCTAAGTGAGGACAGCAAGTCAATAAAAACATAAATATGAAAATAAAATGTCTTAGCTGCCTCAATCACGTGCCACACAAAGTTCAGCAGAATTTGCCAATGAAGGATAAACAACCACATGTCCCCTAACATCCCAGAAAGCACCTAAAAAGTAGAATATCCATGGATCTTACAGTAATTGAGGTATATCATTTTTGAAGAACAGACTTAACCGGAGAGCTTAAAGTTTCCTTTCTGCCTAATTTGGAGGAAGGTTGTGTTAGACAAAAACTCAAACTCAGAATTATCTACTTGAGCAATTCTGATCATCCTATTATATAATTAACCTTTCACTTATTAAAACATTATTCTTATCAGAAGAGACTGAAATAAAAAAGGTAAAATACAGTTCTGGCCTGCTTTTCTACAGGTTAGCAAGTGATAACTGCAAAAAAAACTTTTTAATAGCACTTGGGAAGTGTCCATCCCACTTAAGAGCTTTACCTTGCCCGGAGCTCAGCCAGCTGATCAGTCATTTGCCCCAGGGTTTTGCACGTGCCCAGGATCTCCCTGCGCTCTTTGCCTGCACACAGCTCTCCTGCTTTGCCAGCTTCATCGAGGATCTGCCTTATGGCCTGCTCACCAGCATCCCCTGAGACACAGAGCCAGTCAGTGCAACAAACCTCACATTCCTTGACATCTACAAGAGAGCTACTACATGATATCACATCCTTTCAGCTGCATTAGGTTCAGGCATGGAAGTACATTCACCAAAAATTGAGATATCCACCAAAAAACAACAATTCACATCCAACTTTTACAACTGTATTCGTTTGATTTCAGAGGAAATCCATCTGATAAGATCTTTCAATATCCAAATGGAACAGGCCTCTATCAAGTTTTATTGACTTTAAAGACACATACCACTGTAAACTCCTTATATAAGTAAAGGTGATTGTAATTAAGTGTATTTATGGCAGATTCACACTCAAAATTTTATGTGAAGACTGAAAAACATTTAAAGAGGTTCTGTTAGAGACATCTCAAGTTACAAAAATTTGAAAATACAAAAGAAGGGATTGTAAATATTAGCCATGGCTGCACCTAAGTACTGTTCAATTAATAAGTTTTTGGGTTTACTGTTCGAGTGCAAAATAAGATGTATTTTCCATAGAATACATATCTTTTAGACCCTTGAGAAACAGCAAAGCTTCTAGGTCATTAGACACAGCTTGTTCAATTCCCAGTATCTAAAGAAAGGAGTAAATACAGGCTCCTTCAGAATGATCCACTATGTAAGGGCTAGTAATGCTTAAAGACCATTTTGTCTTAAACAAAAGAAATAATAAGACCTTCAAAAAAATCAAAATACTTGATGCTGTTGTGTTTAAATATTACCTGGAGGTGCATTTGGATCTCTCAGCCAACCTTTTGCCTGATTCATCTTTGAATCTATTAAGGCTAAAGCTCTCTTCATGGCTTCAGTGTCCTTTACAAAAGAGAAAGCAGCAAAATTATTCTCAAAGCAAAAAAAATAAAAGTACAAGTAATCAACACAACCAAAGCTGACAGAGGTTCTATAAAGCAGAGTCTACTTATAAAAACACATTCATATAAGCAGCTCAAAACCTGTTTTCAAACTAGCAGGTCATAATTGCTTCTTTCCAGTTAGAACAGACATTTTAATTTCACTCAAAATGCAAAAATTATGCATGCAATTTTAGTGTTTTTTCTATTTATTTATTTACTAGTGCTGTAATTTCTAAAGTTGGAGCCCTAATAAGCACATATCTTGGAGTTAGATCCATTTTACATCAGGGCACATAGAAGAGTTATGATGTAATTGGAGTATGCATATCTGGCAATTGGCCAGTGAATTTTATTACTTCCTTCAGTGTAAGAGACTGCACATCTACATTTCTCACCTGCTTTGCTGCTTCAAGTCAAACACTTACTGTTTACAGAAAAATAGCACTACCAGCTAATTTCTGGAAGTCTCAGATGTGGAATTGAATGTCTTTGGAGATAACCACATGTATTTACATGTGACTGTTTAAACTCTGAACTCCTCTGCCAGAAGCATCTAAGAACCTGTTTCTTTCACTGTTATGCCACTACTATCCAACACCTCTGGCTGCAGGGGAAACAACCTCCCAGTTCTGATCTCTCCGATTTGCACAGTCTGTACATTGTTCATGTGCCATCCCTCCACTAGAGGCCACAACTTTTCCACCTTACATAAAAGGAAGGACAGTGAAAACAGTAACAAGTACCTAAGTAAGAAGTTGTGGAAAAACCAAACTAGCTTTTTATCACACTTATCATTTGAAATGCTTTTAAGATCCCATAATTGGTACAGAGATGACAAAAAGAAGCCTGGCTCTCACATAGCATCTGAATCAGACTGCCCATGTCCAATGCTTTTGAAGAGGAGCCTACTACTATCGGTATCTTGCTATAGCACGTGCTATCCTGACAATACTAAAGAAATGCCACGTTTTTGTGGAGTTGTTCATTCTGCATGCTTAGTTTTAAAGATACAAGGCTGATTATTCTGACATTTTTATTTGGGCATGTTGGTCTGTCAGCTATCCATAAGGTGCTATAATATAATTCAGCAATCAGCTTTCTAAAAATCTCATGTGATGCAGCTGAATATTTTTAAAGGCACTCGGAACATAGCCTGAGAGAAAGCACCAAAAGCAGAATTATTTTCACCTGGACGACTGAAACTGAGTCTCCAAATTTAGTTGGGATCTGTTTGAAAAAACTTCCAAAAGGTAGGATATGCAGCTAGGGGTGGGAGATGGGCACATTATTTTAAAAGCCATCTTCTCTACAGCTCACAAATTGTGCATTCAGTGTATGATAAGAGTCAAGCAAATATTCACTGAATATTAAAATGTATATATAAATCTTACTACCTAGGAAGATAGGTATTACTGTTTTCTGTTGTTTATATCAGGCTGAAGCCACTTCAGTTTGAAATGAATGGTCTAGGTCAGGACTGTCTATTTAGAAGTAATTTAAAACAAGGAACTAACTGAATATTTTAAAAGGCAACAGATGTTTCTCATTGTGTCAATGAGATGATAGGAGTGGGTGGAGAAAGTGTTGGGAAAACTGTCTTTGCCCCTCCCTTTTTACTCTCAGGCTTTTGTGTTGTCTCAGCTGCCTGCAGAGTTGCAGTTTCAGCAGAATTATATGGAAACTTCTGAATCTAAAGTCTAATATCTGAGGACAAAATCATGGTTGTTCCAGCTTTTGCACTCATGATTTTGTAATTGCAGCAGTGCCCCAGCAGCAACAGGATCCATCTGCCCTGTCATATGAAGTTACATAACTGGATTGCTCTGCAGGGCGAGTCTTGCTATCCTGTGCTCCTCTGCACTCATGTTGACAAAACACTGTCCCTTTTTGCTATTTAAAAAAATCTGGTCAAATCCTAGCATAGCAGTTGAAGTGTTTCAAGACAACTGCTCTTAAAGCACCAGTTTCCCATTTACACAGCCCAAGGAACCCCTTCTCAGCTACAGCCTGATGAGTTTTCATTGCAGTGAGCTGAGTAATGCCATGGAAAACTAGAATGCATCCTTCACTAGGTTTGTGGGTACAGCACTTGTGTCTCCAGAGCTGTGTCTGGTATCAGATACTTGGCAAGCAACAAGGTGTAGCCATACTGAAAGGTCTAGACTTAGCAACCAATTCAGGCTATTAAGAAAGAAGGAAGACAAAAATTAGAAACACTCCATCTAAAATAATATAGCAACTTAATCAAGGTCTCACTGCTTGAAAATGTCTTGATAGTCCTGATTAAATTCCTTATTCCTCCTCTAAACAGCTAAATATGTTTAAAATTTAACTCTTTGGGATTTGCCAACAGAATATCAGTTGAAAACGTGAATTATTTTTTGAATCCTACTGCTCTTCTGCAAAAAAAAATTTATACAGCTTTATCAGCAAAAATTGATTCTTTCCCTCCTCTCCCTGCCAACAGTTCCCCTGTGGCCAAAGGGAATTTTATTAAAAAAAATCAGCACTATTACATTTGCAGAAGAGATAAACACTCTCAGTTAATCAAGTTAAACAACTAGGACAACACTGTCTGAAAAGAGGAAGCTGGATTTTTTCCAAACCAATTCCTAAAGCAAATATTATTTAAGACACTCCTATGCATCATTTCTGCCACTACCAAGACTTTTCAGCTTATTCAGGGAGCAGGTAGTATTGGCTCTGCTATGCAAAAGAGCAAAATAAACCCTACACAACTCCTTGCTGGATGTAAAACACAACCTCTGACTCAAAGTGGTCTAGTCTAAGGATATCTGCATTTCATGACCAAAGAAGGCAATGCTGGAGGAAATAGGCAAAGCCAGTGTTCTGGCAGGATAGATAGCTTAGTCACCATTCAGGGTTCAATCCTGCAAGATATTAGATATTTCTCAGCTTCTAACAACTGTTAACTCCCTCCAATTCCATGGAAATGAGAGATGTTTGAATTGGGTATTACTTCAAATTAATTTAAAAATAAATACTAATAATATACAAGAGAAAATTTAATTCCTTGGAAAATGAAAAATTCAAGGAAAAATGTTCAAAGCTATGAATGAAAAAATAAATACAATTCTTTTCCCCAAGATTTTGTCCAAGAATAGTATTTCAATTCTAAAGCACCATACTATTTTTAAAATCCAGTATAAGCAGAGATTATTGCAATCCAGTAATAGTAATGTGCAGAGTCCAAAAACACCAAACAAAATAGTTTGCCTACAGCTGCAGCTCCTACAAAGGCTACAACTCTGGCTCCATACCTTGTTCATTCTCCATTATCTCTAGACAGACTATGATTACTCAAGGTATAAATAACTCAAGATAGAATAATAAACATAAAATGAAGTCTAACATCAGCAATGGCATGTATTACACCGATAAAAATTCAAGGCTGGGCACCCCCCCAAACACCCAGAAAAGCATGGGGGAAATCCTCCCTCTGACCACCAGGCACAAAATGCATGCAACAGTGACCTCAACTACAACTAAACAGCTCCATCTCCCTCCCAGCAAAATAAGTCAATTGCTAGATGTGTGCAAATACAGGATAAGGTCTGAAATAGGTTACTGTTAGCAAACTAGTTTCTGCTTCTTCATCCCACTGCATTTTTCAATTCAAATGCTTTGTCATCACTTAATTAATGCCCAGTGCTACAGTTCCAAATCATCAGCATATCTTAATTCAAAAACAAAATACAATTAAAAATTTCTCAGTTCAGAACAGAATGATACTTTGATTATACTAATCCACACAACATATTTATACATTAAGCATAACGACCAATATTTTCCATTAGGAAATACTGCTAATATACCAGCTGTTTTCTTAGTTAAATCCTTTATTAATCTGCCTCACCAGCAATATGAATAAGCCTAAATTGCCAACTCTTTGCAATACACATTTTTCTTTACAACAAAAATTTCTGCATTTGCTGTGTAAAAGAAAACTGTAATCATATTTCCTTAATACAGGAAAGCTTAAATCCAAAAATAAAACTGAATTGAAAGAGTGCCCATACAAGACTGCACTTTTAAGCCTAGACCTAAAGAACATGAACTGTCTGAACTGAAGGAAGGCTATGGGTAAAACAGTGTGGAATAGACAAAATTCCTGACTTAATAAAACTTTCTGGCCATGCAGAAAACTCATGCCTGCATGACTGGACCCTTTATTTGTTACTACAGAGACTCATAAATTAACATAAAAGCATTCAGCAAGAATGTGCTGTAAAATCTTGCTCTAATTCTAATCAGATTTAGAAAGAGTCTTAATGCAGATCAGCTTGCAATTACCATTCTCAGTGACAGCCAATGTTACACACAGCTAGACAGAGCTATTATGAACTTTCTTAAACTGTGTGTACATCCATAAGTATAAATGCCAGTGTCACAGCTGGCACACAGAAGTTGCACAGCACACAGTCTGCACACAGCAAAAAATCCCACAGCCATGCTTTTTTGGGGTTTAGTAAAGGTAGAGGTGGAGGGTGTGGAAGAAAGCTTACCTTCTAAAGGTGAGAAAAGGGTAAGAAACAGGACAACAAAAACAGAGATGCATACAATAGTTATAATAAGGAAGTGATAGTGACAAAATAACTCAAGAGGCAAACTAAGGGTCAAGTGCCAAACAACATAGGCCAAAGTGATTTTATGTCTTGGTTACATCAATGTTAGATTTCCTGCTAGACTTGGTTTACTAACTAGTCTGGCTTCAGGTCTCAGTAAGATTTTATGACATTTATGCTCATTTGTTTCTCATAGCATTAACACTTTAAAAAATACCTTCAGCAATTTACTTCCAAGTACTCAAAAGAATCTGGCAGGAATTTCAGTTATGCAGCTGCATTTATTTGTAATCCCACAGCACTTATGATTCTATCTTCTAGACACTTCAGTAGCTTCAGCATCACTTCAGAGCAGCACTTGGCTCCAGGTAAGTGGCTGCAGTCACTCACACAGCTGAACACCGAGTTGTAAGGAAGCAATCCTGACCATAAACCAGCTTCACAGGCATCAGACTTACCCAGAAAGCCTCTTCAATCTAACAGGTTTCTTTGAGACAAGAAGAACACCTGAAATTTACTCTCATGTCCAGAATAAAAATGGGGCAGGGAGAAAATGGGCAGGTGTTCAAAGAGGAATCCTCCAAAATTGACTAAAATGTCTCGATTCCAAGCCTTTTGCATTAGGAATATGACAGTACCTATCTTTTCTAGCAGGATCTAGAAGGGAAATCTCAATCTCACTTATGAATGCCTAGCTACGAGACCAGTTGAATGTGCAGAATGGTAACATTTTATACCTAATTTTCCTGTCAAAAATGATTATGTAGGGTAGTTACACAGAGGGAAAAATATCCTTCTCCGAGTGGAATACGCTATATTCCAGGACTTCCTAATGATGCTGAAACTGAAGCATGAATAAATCCGTCTTCTATTTCACCACTGAGTTGCACTAAACCACTGAACCACCTTCAAATGCCACACTAATTTAAATTTGCTTATTGAGAGCAAGCTCATTTTGAAAGATAGATGAATATATTTATCTCTGAAGATATTTGACCTTGAAGAGATTATATGATGCAATTACCTAGTGTTACAAAACTGAGGCACACATACATATTTCAGTGGTCTCAAAAGCACAAGTTTAAAAGGGTAAAACACAGTAGCCAAAAACTAGATTTCTACATACAAATGCAGATATGAAAATACCTTGCTTGCCCAGGCATCTTCATCCCACGAAGTGAGTTGCAATACACGAATTATTTCATTTATCTCAGCACTCATTTTCTCTACTGTGAAATTGCGATTTTTCAAGGCCTCTTCTATTCCCTGGCTTTTAGAATTTTTTGTAGTTACAAAAATCTTCATAGCTGTGAAAATACCAGAGAAAAGAAGGTATATGCAAGACAAATCAGTGCTATTTATATGGAACATTTTCTTTTGCATGGACCATTTTATCTCAAAGAGATTGTAGCTTTAATACAAGAAGCACGGTTACTTGCAGTTGATTACAGATGTTCAGGTTATATTTAATCAACATAAGACATTGAATCTCCAGTTCAAAACAGTAATTCAAGATGGTATTAAGAAAAAAAAAAGCAACAAATACCTGAAATAAGTACTGGCAATAGCTCCTTCACTGTATTCATGGAGTTTACCAGCATAACCCTATGTTCCTGATGAGTTAATTCCTGTTGTCTCTCATCAATCATTTTGGCCATCTTCGTCATTCCTAAAGATTAAAGTAATTCAACATGGAAACACTTGAGATTTCTAAACAAGAATAAGGCATAATGATTGATGAAAACTATATTGAAGTGTACAACTTTTGTATTAGCAGCTGTTACTTGAAACACATTCCAGATACTTCAGAGAAATCACCTATTCAAAACCTAGCCACTATGCAATGTGGAAAGGACTACTCAAAATCCTATCAATAAAATAGGAAAATACCTGAAATTACTGTTTTAGGACATGAAGTCACTTAATGAACACTGGAAGCTGATTTAAGGGAGGAGGAGAGGATTTAAGGGAGGAGAGTGACATTTTCTGTTAAGATTTGATCCATGAAGTGAAGGACAGAAAAAAGAAACATCAGGATTTTTTTCGTTTGCTTGGAGGTTCTACCAGAGGTCAAGAAGTGTATTTACACTTCATACTTGCTAGAAATATTTCAGTACCCTAGAAGCCTGAAAAGAAGTAAATTTATTCTAGAGCAGACCTATTTTCAATAGGTAAGACTTGTGAGGTTTACCACACAGTGCACATGCAAACTTCAGACACAGCTTCATCAAAACTTCAGATTATTTAAATGGTTGCTGTTGTTGTCCTACTCTTTCTCCTCCAGGGTATAAAACTGGAAGGAAGCTGAATATTTTTGGCTGAATTACCTTTCTGCTGGTTAACATCTTAGGCATTTCAACACTGCTTTCATGACATCACTGAAGAGTAGTAGGATCCTCACACTGACAGCACAGAGAGGGAAGCTGTGCAGAACCACATTTCCTTTTAAATGACAAAAGCTTTAACAGGTAATCATGTTCCCCTCTCTACTTCCAGCATAAAACTTCTAAGTACTTCTTTGGCTTTAATTGTACCTGCTCATACTCCTGTCATTTATATAGCAGTCCCATGAAAGGTGAGGTTCAGATGGCCATTAATATAACTACAAGCAACAAGGACTATGGGCATTATGTTTTGTGGGCATGGGCTGCAGATGTTGAGCAGCAGCCAGCTCAGGCAAAGACAGAGCTTTCACAGCATTCCAGTAACACAAGGCTCACTTTTCATTCAGAATATCATGAGTTTAGAGAAGATGATTTGCAATAAAGGTTAACAAGCCTACATCTCACTCTGAGAAACAAAGACACTTAGCCAAGACCTCTGTCATACATATCTAACAGCAAATTAGGTCTGTGAAGTTCAGTGAAAAGACCCAAATGCTTGTAACTGAGCCCAACAGTGCAAACTGAAGTGAGGGAGAACCTACATTTTAAAGGTATATAAGACAATAACCATAGAGAAACTGGAAGTGTATATACCAAGTCAAACAAAGTCTCAGGGAATGAGAAGACTGCCCTTTTTTTTAATTTCTTCCTCTTCAAAATGAGGCAAAAAGTATTTAATTGAAGGTAATTTCTGATGGGAAATAAAAGTTTAGAGAACACTATACCTCCATATGGAACTTCAAAGTTTTTCTATGTCTAGACACAAGGTCAAGTATACACATGTTAAATAAAAACAGGATCCTCTATAAACATGCTCTGTGCCATAACAGCTCTTAGCCATTTCATTTATCACCTAGCCACATTACACATGTATTTATAAAATACTAACTAGATTGCTTTATATAGGAATTTACAAAACCTAGATATAGGTTTTATATAAGCATTCTTTAGTTCACTGTAATTTTAATTCCAATATCTTCCTACAGCACCACGACATCTCGATTTTACAGAATGCTTTTGTTAAATACCTTAGCTACTTCATGCTGAAGCTAAAACATTTGAAATAGCAGATGATATAGATTAATGGTAGGTTTCCTCTAGAGCAATAGAGAGATAGAGACAGCAGCTCCTCACTTCCCAATCACTTCCAGCATTGGAAGTGTGAGTTAGCACAGTGAAGTTACAAGCAGTGAAGGAGCATCAAAGAACAAACATAGAATTTCCATAACAGCTGGGCTTTTGTATTATACTTCAAGACAGCTGTTTCTGCAACCTCATTAAGATGTTAATATATGACATGTAGCTTACCCTATTCCAAGAAATTCCTACAGGGCCTAACTATCTCAGCCAGTGCAGACATTTTATCAGCTTAATGGATTTATTATCTCTGAGTGCTTAGTTACACAGCTTTTTCATTTTTTTTTTGTTTTATCCTTACTAATGCATGCTTACTTCCTTCACAGTATAGGAAAAGTACATCATCCATGTGCACGTATCATTTACCAATCTCTTCTGCATTCTTAAAAGAGACTGTGAAACACAGAGTCATTCTTTCCAATAGAAACTTCCAAAGCAACTGCTTTATCATTGTCCCAGTGTTCAAAACTTGGGTGAGGAAGGTGCTGGAGGGAAAACAAAGTAGTGGGAAAAGACTATACTTAGTATATTTATGAAAGACTGGAGCAAATCAAACCTGGCCCTAAATTCTTCGTGTAAGTCACCAGATCCTCCATTGTCTCTACCACTTCTGCCACAGTCAGATATTCCAATATTCCTTTGCAGACACGGATGATTTTACGGACCTAAGAGAGGAACATTCCGTTATTTCTTAGGTAAAGCTAAGTAACACTTGAATTAGAAATGCAAACATGTTACTAGAACAGTTTAGTTATAGCATTTGCTAACATGACAAATGGGCAATCATAAAGGTCTGAGATGCTGAATAAGTCACCCAAAATGCCATTAGTCAAGTGCTGTAGTATTGACAAGCCAATATTTAACTAGCTTTCCACTACTCAGAAATGCAAAATCGTACTTCCAATATTTTCACTTTGTATGATAAATGAAGGATAGCATTGAGAAAATAGGTTAGAACGAACTTCATCTATGTGTGCTGTCATGCTTGAAGGTTTTCGTTGCAATTTCATTAATAAAATATTTAATTTAAATCACAAAGCAAAACTACACAGAAAGCAGACTTGAAGCTTTCAGAGGAAGTATCATTCACCATACAGCTTTACATATGGATAAAGCATTACCCAGCATTCCAGCAGGAAAGACAAATCCAACATCTTAAACTTTCCAGCAAAATCTGTGAAGGCTGTACTTCATTTACCTCTGGACCTCTGCCTCAGCTTAACTTTTTTCAGTTCACATTTGATTCCAAAACAGTTCTCAGTCAGTAAAGCTAACTTCTGAACCACATTACTTCTGACATCACTACATACAATTCTTATGGAAGAACAAGTTAATTAACAATTAATTTGTATTAACCATATGCAGTGTTCAGCACCTAGAAAAAAATCAAATCTTCCTCTGAAACTCATTTCAATTTGTCCCAATGTTACTTTATCCTGAAACACAGGACAGACACATGCCAACTTCAGTACTTGTGAAAAGTCAATCATTCCTGACTAATGGCTTTCTTTTCATTAAGAAGTTGTCAGGTGAGTCCCACAAATCATTAACATCACAAAAGCCAATTTCCAAAGCACTACAAAGAGATTAAAAGCTATTAACTTCCTTGAAAGTCTTGTAACATTTCTATTAAAAACCATTTCAGAGGAACATGATAATAGAGCCATGAGCTGGTTAAATGAGACAAGGATACCAAGGAACAGCAAGAAGAGCAACAATTCCATAGGCTAACAAATTGTTGCAGAATTAGGATTGACATCAGCATTTCTAACAGCATGAGCTTTATTTCTTCATTGTACCATGATCTTTCTTATTCAGAAACAAGCAAGACTCCATATCCCCAGAAAGAGCATCAAAACTATGATTTGCAACAAAAAAACCCAAACATGAGACATTTCCATTTTCTTGCAATTATGGCTTTTTTGTACATATGAGCATGGACAAACAGCACTTCTGAGTCAGTTTTTGGCTTGTGCAGCAGCCAAAATGTAGTAACTTAGATTTATCAGAATACATCTTCTGCCTGACTAGCCAGACAGTCCAAATTTATATTACCTCCCATGGCCCAAGGCCAATTAAATTGCCAGAGCTAATGAGCCAGACATGTTAGAAAGTGGCCTAGGGCTTTTCAGCGAACAGATACAGAAAATATAATGATCAGTAATGGGTAAGGTGAAGGAAATACAGAAAAGCATCAGGAAGATATCAGACAGTTGACAAGATCTGGACTTTCTGAGCAATAATCAGGCAACACCTAAACATTATGTCATTCAAAAATGTTCCTAACAAAACACAGCAACAAGCCTTAAGCTCCTTCTGACAGAAAGGAATGCAAAATATGCTTCCAATCAAGCTAAAATGGTCAAAACCTCATTAATCTATTTAACAGTTTGGTTTAGCTAATTTAGTTAAGGGGACATTTTAATTAATAATACTGTTGTGCAGGCACTTATGTCAGTCATGCTGGGATTCCTACCTCTGCTTCATCGAATGTCAGGAGCAAGTCTGATGTTCCAGAAAGGATTCCTCTTGATCCATCAATGAGATAGTCACGAGCTGGTACTGAATAAGGATCTGCTTGCAGCATCTGGGCTGCCCGAACCAGTTTGGTGCAGGCATTCTCCACTCTGTGGAAAGCCAGCAGACAACATTTGCTGATCAGCTTCTGTGTGTATGACCACAGGCTGAAGAAAATGCTGGATTTATTTTTAACTTTACTATTTGTAGCAAACAAACTGATCATTCTACACCTTTATAGTTTAAAAGATAAGAGTATTTCTTGTATTTTTTTCTAATAAAAAGTCACCAGCAACCATACAACCCAGTTTTTCAGAAGTCACACTATCTTCCCATGTAGGGAATGTTTGAAGTACCCCTTACAGTGTCATTAAGTACAGACCCCAACCCAGCAAAATACTTTATATTCTTCATGGCATGGACAAAGAAGAAAATTATATCAGCCTTGCACAGGCACTTTTATTCAAGTAGCAATCTCTCTCAATAAACATTAAATGACACCTACACATTAGGACAAAATACCAGTTTTAAGAAAGACACTGTGCTCTGCTCATTGAAGCTGTAGGCCAGGTCTTCAGGATGCTAACACTCATGGAAAGAGCATTTTAAATAACCACAAAATGTAGTGGCAAGGTACAATGTTCAAATGCAGCTTGCAATTCCAGACATTAAAGCAGAAAAGATTTCATAAGGTATTACAGTATGTAACTACAGTAACACAAAAGGTATTTACAATAATAAAATAATGAGCTCTGAAATTAGGTTCCATCAAACCATCTAACAATTTTAAAATATCAAAAATTGGAAGAGTGAAAATCTTTTGATTTTGTTCTCTTGTAATTACATTGTGACACCTTTGGAAAATAAAGAACTCAGACTTCCCTTTTACAGTAGCTATGCTACTCATGACTGTAGTTACTGACTACACTTTGCTCCCCTGCCTGCCATTTCAGTTTAGTGTAGTGTAATACCTAATGCTCTGTGCATGTGCTCATTCAATAACACGAGGTTCCAACAATCATAAAGCACTTATTACAGCAATGCTACCTCTTATGACCACTTGGGCATGCATGTCACAGCCCATTTTCTACTGACCACTTGGGCACACTCTTTTATCATACTTTTAGTGAAGTAGTTTTGGAAAGTTAGAGTTAACCCATTTCTCCTCCCATGTTCTCTGCTAATACAAATACTACAACTTCATGGTTACATCTAAATTTTACTAGTAGAAATGAGACACCCATTACAGGAAAACACACTTTTGTGCAGAAACTAGAATTTTCAGCTAATAGCTCCCTAGAGTAGAACAAATTGGACCAGCTGCATTATCATAACCTGCTCTTTTTGGGAGACATCTGCTCAGCATATCCGATGTCAGGGACTCCTAACCAAGCCAGAAAATGCAGAAGGACTTCAAGGCAGAAAGTGGAAATGGTCTGCTCATTGCTATGCAATGCACTTAGTTGTGTTATCAAAGTCAACTGACTTCACTAAATTAGATTTCTGTGCTTGCTTCTCACACTTATTCTTTTCAACTCTGCCAAGAAAGGGATTAAACAAATCACCTATTCAGCAGCTCAGAGCTATAGGCACAGAAATACTTAACTTCCTACAGTTTAATTTCATGGTTATCTCTTTAATACTAATAATTATCTCAAGGCTGGCTTTTTCATTTTTTAAGAAAATAATTAACATAAATGTGTATTATATCAGAAGTCACAGTAATTAATGAAAACGGTGTTTCTAAATATTCAAAGTTTTCTTTTACAGTTTTAGGGTTGAACCTCTTAAAGGTAAATATGAATTTCAATAGTATAATGCCTATTTTGTATAAACTTCCCAATGCACTTAAAGTACTTCAGGAATGTACAGTGGTATTTGAAAATCAGACACATTTAATTCCCTGCAAAGCATACATGCTAGGAAGCAAAAGATTAGGAAAAGGTATTCATTTACTTCCATTAAAAAAACCCAACCAACCAACGAAACCAACACAAATAACCAAAGCCCCTAAAAAACGCAGTGAACCACTTGTTCTATCACAAGAATCAGGTTCAGAAATTTCAGATAGAAGTTCATTGCTATGGTGAAGTTTCTAATCTCTGTATTACCTTGCAACATAAAAAAAAACAACAACATATCTTTAAAAAAAAGTCTATTTATTTTTGGAGCAGGATTACAATAAGGCTATCTTAACACCAGCCAAATTCTTTGTGGGGAAGTCACTGGTTACAATATTTCTAACCATACTACTTTGGGTAGTCAATCAACTTCATCACTGTTAAATGTATTCCTTACAAAACACAAGGGAAAAAAATGTAGCTTATACTACACTATTATTTTAGGTTTTAGGTTGTAGGATTGACGTTTGTTTTTCCCTGAGTTCATTGCCCAGTTTAACCAGTACAGTTTTGATTACTTGCAGTTCTAGAAATATAAAGTAAAAAGCTAGTATTTTACATTAACAATAATTTGTTATTACAGGTACCAGCAATGCAGCTACAGCTTGGCTACCAAAATAATGTTTACATAGAATAGCATTATTGCTTGATGTGTTAGCTTGTGCATGCAAGTTAAACAAATTTTTATTCTCAGTGTAAACAATAGTGTAACCCTATTCTTTGCCTAGAGACTGCAGTTCTTCACTTCTTTACAAGAGAAGCTTAACAAGCAACAGGAACACATTGCAAAACATCTGATGTAAATTATATGCATTACTTATACTCCCTGGTGATTAAGACAATTAAGATAAAGAACTCAGCATTTTTTAACTCTAAGTCAACAGTTCCAATGTGGTTCATGTCAGTAGCACTGAAGGGATGTACGATGCTTTTCAGCAGCCAGCAAATTATTTTGCTGCACAATCACACTCCTACTGAAAAACTTTACAGATTACCATAATATATATTTATTATGAACCCTCGATGCTGGTATCACGGCTCTGAAAAGAATAAACAGATCTCTCCATCCTCCAAGACTGGTGATCCTTCTGAATGGAGGAAATATGAACAGGGAATGCAGTGCTAGTACATATGTACTGCTTCTTACCCATCACCCATGCACCAGTACAAATTCTGCCAGAGCACTGCCTCAAAAAAGAATGCCAATTCTGCTTTAGAAATAAAAATTCCTTCTCAGAAAAATAAAACCGAAAAAGACCCTCACCTATTTCAATTCTTGCATCTAAATTCTGTCCTTTACAGCTCCCTTCGAAGCTCACCTGTGACTATCATTTGTCCCCACAAGCAAGATACCCACGACAAACATGAACAAGAAACTGTTAACATGTACTAATTCATTCTGATATAAACTCCAGATTAACAAACACACAAATGAAACACGTTGTCCTTTATAAAAACCTTTGAATAATCCTAACTCATGTTACTGCATCTAGGATAGCAAGTACTCTGAATTGAGTGTCATTACTGACAGGGAGCTTTGATTCCCATTTTACATTATATTACAGCTCATGCAGTCATGAATTGCTCCAGAAAAGGTTCTTGCACCCAGCATAAAGTGGAAGTGGTACTATTTAGCAGTGCTTGTGTCACATTTCTACAGTAATTTAATTATTGAAGTATTGCATAATTTTCTGCATTTTGATCAAAGGCAGAATACAGTATAGCAATTTTAAAAAATCTCTTTTCCTTAGCCCCTTATTTGTCTAGGTGAACAAAAAGCTGGAAATTAACTAAGAGCTCCACATATCCTAGAAAATTAGCATAATCAAAATTCCACATTTGCATACAATTCATCAAGAAGCAAGAAAAGAGCTTTGATCTCATTTCATGAAATAAACTCCGCTCAAAAAAATCGAACCCCTCTACAGCCACACAAGATCACACACCAGGAACAGAGCATGATAAATACTGTCATGGATTATATCAAAGGCCCATTTAGCTCAGCATCCTGTCTCCAATAGTAGCTGCAAGTAAAAGCCTAAGGAAGGTTAAGAACAGGATAAGCAATTATCATACTTCCTCTAGGCACTCTCCCATCCTTCAACTATTTTCAGTTCTTGGTACTTCCTGCATTTTGCCTATTTGATGACCCTCAATGGATCCCTCTATGTATTTAGCTATTAACCTCCAAACCCACATAAAGAATTTTAACAGTACACAACTAGCTGTACAAAGAATCTCTCCCTACTGTTGTCTTACAAACTGCTAGCTTAGAGCAATTCCCCTATCAAGCTCTGCACAGGAAAAACACAAGTTTTCACCTTCTCTATGCAACTCCTACTTCCTTAGATATTGTCAGGGCCACCATCCCCTCTGTCACTTTTCCCAGGCTAAAGAGTTCCAGTCTACTCAGGTTTGCCTTATACAGAAGTAATTCAATGCCTTTGCTCTCCAAACCCTTCTAGGAGCTTTTTCCAGTCCTACTACAACCTTTCAAAAATTGTGACTACCAGTACATGAGTATTCAAGCTGTGGAACAAAAATATATTGCAACACTTGGATGTCTCATTCTTTGATGATAAAACTAATGTTTTATTTACTTTTTGATCATTATGAACAGGTAAGGATGTTCTCACTAATGTACAACAGCTCCAAGACCTCGATCACTATTGGTAATGGTCAGTTCAATCATCCTATCTGCCATTAGACCTGCTTTTCTCCCAAGTGTGCATAATTTCAGATATTTAAAAGTCATTTAATCCACACTTTACAGTACCTTATTAATTGAAGTGAATTGATGTTATTTCCCAGAGTCATCCATTAACCCCTCTGCCTTGCGTAAGACTTGGGGTCATAACTAAGTACTTTTGCCTCTCAAGTCAGCCTAGTCTCCAGAACATTTATTAACATGGTAAAAAGCACAATCCCAACCAAGAGCTCCACAGTCCTATTGATTTCCTCCTGCCATTGTCAGGGTTAACCATATAATCTTTGCATCCACTTTCAATTTTCTCTTTTTCATACAAAAATTTTTCTAATTACCCTGCAGCTACTTCACTTTCTTAAAAGCCTCTAGACCCTGCCAAGTTTAGAAATCAGTGCACACTGTATTATCTGGACTACCCTTTCCCCTATTTGTAATATTTCTAAGAACACCAATAGATTTGTACAGCAGAACTTCCCTCCATAGAAACTCTCTCAATTCACCCAAAGCACACTATATACAGCTGAGGTGTCTCTGTTCTCTAATACACAATTTCTAATCATTTATTCCAGAAGTACATCAGACTTACACATCTCCTGTTCCCCAGATTTCCCTAGAAAGTTTCCCAGGCTGTAGCATCACTTTGATTGACACACTGACAGTTTCAAGTGACAGACTACTTCACAAATAATTCAGCTATGTCATTCTTGAACTCATGTGCTAATATCACCTGGTCCTAAGCATTATTTTAACTATTCATTTTGTCAACCTACAATGAAATCAACTAAATCCTTATTCACTGCCTACCATAAATGTTCTCACACGTTTAGACATCACCTCTCTCCTCCCTTTTATTATTTTCCCAGTTACGTCAATGCTTTCTTGTTTTGACTATCTGACTGTTTGGTGTTTGGAAATAACAGTAAAATACTCAGTAATTCTGTATACACTGGACAATGCTAGAATAGAGGTTCCTATAGGCAGTAGATAGTAGAGGAAAGTTACTTCAATAGAAGCCTGTCAGGTGGCAATAAGCAGCTTGGGAATTCCACACCAAAGGGTGATGTATCATTTTTAAGGCTTAAGGCAACAGAAGGAGAAGGTCAATTGTCCTTTATACCAAGACACAGAATTAAGAATATCTGCTGTAAGGGCACTTACTGTCTACTAACTACACTGTCTGCACTAAGTCACTGCTCTTCAAATATCTTAGATTTCTGGGCAGTTATGCTATCAGCTGCCTGTACTGACAAATTCACCTTTTCCCATCAGCCAAATAGAAAAAGATTGAGACACCACATTGTCTCTGACGCTTTAGGCAAACCTACAGGAGCACACAGTTAAGTACCATTATTATCCTGATAAACTTTTGTTACTATTTTTAAAGGAAGAAATACCATATATATAGAATGTAACAAGAAAAATCCCTGCTGCCAAAGAGGTTGTTCCTGACATTGGAACAGGTTTCCTGTATGCACAATACAAGATTTTACAATAAAATTAGTTTACTTGATAAATGCTGGTGGCATATCCCTTTTCAAGATCTGGTCTTCTGTTGTCTGCACAGTCTCTTTTCCAACCTGCAGGAGAAAAAAAAAAAGACATATTAAGAATCAAAATTTCAGTGTCAAGACCAGATAAAAGCAAATAGTGAAATAACAAAAATGCTTTGTACTAATGACAGCTCTTTTCACCAGGTTCTTGTTGCTGTGTCTGCTTTTGAGACCACTATATACTGTGCTTAATGCCTTAGAAATCACAAGTTGTTTCCTATCAACATCTCTACTAAATTAAATGGGGACACACCAACGCACACTTCTTCCTACTCTTCATAAAAACAATATTTTTTCCTTCATTTAGTTGCAAAAACTAAATCTCTGAAAGATTCCCTCTGTCCTAATCTCTACAAATCACAAATCAAATTCAAAGCTAAAAAAAATTACCCCCCTTTTTCTAGCAATTTAGTCTATTAGAAAAATGTGGTTAATTACTAAGAATACACCCCACATCCACACCATCCTTTAGGGAAAAAATAATTATGCAGAAGCCAATAAAGAGAGTAGGATCTGGAGTTCTCTATACACTAGCTCTTGTGTTATACAATAGAAGTCTTTATAATTGGTAGCTGACTCTCTGAACTGTGAGATCACCAACTTGACAAAATATTTCCAGCTCCTTTGTTCGCTGTATTTTCCAGCTGAATAAGCTATTCAGAAAGGCATCACAAAGCAGAAGGTCTTTAAACCAGACACCACTTTGTGTTAAGAGCTGCCAGACCTGCTCAAGCTAGACAAGATAGCCCTGAAAATCCCTGATCAGCTGCTGCTTAGAGATTCAGTGGGTTTGGACAGAAGATGTAGTGTCAGCATGCACAGCACTTGCCAATTCTAATGCTGTACAGCCTTCCAGAACCACTGTTTCCTTACAAATTTCTGCTGCTTGCCAAAACCTGTGTCCTGGTCTGCTCCTTTTCAGAGGAACTTCACAGAAGTACAGTGGCCTGAGTATTTTATTTGCTTCAAACAGACTCAGCCTAGCCTACTTCATTTTCTTTTTTAATCTATTAGTACTACACTCAATTAGTCACACAGATACTTCAAAGAAACCAAAGACCAAAAACAGTTAAAGATCTTGAATTTTATGGTAGGTTTCTGTCCCTTGTGTTCAACAACAGTCATGCACTGTCCTAGTGCACAGAACTGCAGTGTTTCTTTGGCTCCTGAATTTCATGGCAATGCTTCAGGAGCATGAGTTTAAATGTATCTCATGATCCACCAGAGAGTATGCCTGCTTTATTCTTATTATTTCCATTGCACTCAGGGAACATTTTTTTATATTTCTCACAAGTTGGCATGACCAAGATAACACAATAAATTGAGTAATTCCCAGTAACTCTGCATTACACATGATCAGATAAAAGATTCTCACCAGGTGAAAATGAAGAGCAATACTTGATTTACAAGAATCATGCCTTCAAGGTTTATTTGCCTGCAGCTGTACCAGCCTACATATAGTTCAGTATATTGAAAAAAGTATCACTCTAAAGAATGCAGAAAAAAAAGCTTACAATGTGGGAGGCACTTCAAGTTGAAGGTCACTTTAGCCATTGGTATTTTATATTGGCCAGATGTATTAGACCACACAAAGAGCATTTCATCACTCAATCTAGAAAATATAAGTATCTTCTATAATGTGATAGATCAGTAGTCAGAAGGATTATCAACTACTTGTAGGCAAATATATCTACTTTACATGTCTATAGATGCACATATATAGATATATAGACATTTTTTGCTATAGCCAGTAAAATAGCTATATAGCTATTTTTAGCTATCTTCAAATGGAACTAGCATATAGGATAAGAGTAAACTCCTCTGTTGTTTGAGGGTTTTCTGTAGAGATTTTTAACCTCAAAAACCTGTCATAAACTTCAATGACATTTCTCTTCCAAATCCATGCACATCCTCAGCACTGTAGACCACACAGAAGGGACACAAGATGTCAAGCAGCTTTGATGATGCCTCAATTAAAAAGCTGTTATTTACCTTTTCCAGTTGTTGCTCTTTGCAGTTGCAGCCGAAGTATGGAAACTATTGAAATGGCATATAAAAAACAAATGTACTCCACATAACACTAAACAGGAAAAGCCTCAAACATAGAGTCATGAGTAAAAATATACATCCTCACAGTTGAGTGGGTTTGCACTTCTAGCTTTGTGGTTAGGGGTTTGTGTTGCTTTATTTCCTACTTAATTTTCATAAGATCCTGTTTCTTCAGATTGTTACTGTGTGTTACACTGCAGTGTGTCCAAAACTTCCTTAGGCCATGTCAAGTTCAACCACCCTCTCCACAATCCAATACTAAGAAAATGAGGATTTTTTTTTTTTTTGCCTGAAGATGTAATGTCTATACATTGCTTATTTCAGACAGGTAGTTTGTCTAACTTCATGCTAATATAAAACAATCTGAGAAACACACTATTTATTTCTAGCTAACAGTACACATGTAGCAAAACCTACATGATTCCTACCCAGGTTTTAGATATTCTTACCTAAGATGATCTTTCCTTAACTTACTGGGAAGTGAGAGTGATAGAGAAGCTTCTGCTATTACACAGGGTTCAAGTGGCACTTACTCATGGTTCCAAAGAAACTGCCCTGACTAACACACTAAAATAACCATAATTTCAACACTGCACATTACAGAGTAAGGAGAGCCCTCAAGCAAACCTTAGCAAGACAGTTTCTTAGTTACAACTTCTGTCCACCCATATTAATTTCCAAACTCTTTGGAGATTAGAGACAAATCAGTTGAATAAAGAGTGAGCAACTTTCCTTCTTGCTCCCTGCTCAAAAATGCAGTGAATAAGAGGCAGACAAGTCAAGAAATTTAATGGAAATGGGGGACACAAAAGTCAGAGGGCATATATATATGGCTAATGAAAAATTTTCTAGGAATGTAGCTATAAGCAGGAAGAGATTGAGACTTCCTGCTGCATTTAGCTTTTAACCTTGTTTGTAAGTCTCCTGCAAGTCCTATTTGCCACTGATGAGTAGAAAACCAGTATGCTTTAAGCTTTCTGATGTGGACAATTTTCTTCATGGAAAAGAAAAGGTTTTTCATCAGGCCAAGTTCCTTCCTTTTAAGCAATTTTGCAGGTCTTTTTCATGTCTGTTTCTACTGGAGGAAAATTAAGACAAGGTCCCTTGCACACCTTCTTAGCCTGCTAGATATAGCAAACAACAGCTGTTCAGTGAGAAGGAGAAAATTTTGTCTTCTGTAATTCTATAAGTTTGTTTAAACAGACAAGCACCCAGTCATAGCTAGCTCTTTTTACTTCTGCAGTTTGAAAGTAAAAACTGCATCATATCAAATAAAACACACAAATAATTAAGATGTGAGTCCAAAGTTTATTGATTAAGGGTAATTTTATTTTATTTTTTTTCTAAACAAAGATTCTTCTGAATCTTCTGCTGACAATACCAGTTTGACAATTGGCCAAATGCTGGAAGGGACATTTTCCTCACAGCTTATATGATTTCCCCTGTTAAGAGGGAAGATGACCTTAGAAGAACAAGTTCTTGCAATGTCCCAGAAGCTTAATTTAAAACATCTGTCATTTTAGCAAGGAGCCTTAAAAATATTCCCTCATCATGATCCAGTGAACACATCACAGCCCTGGCTGTTACCCCATGTCTCCCCCAAGAAATAAACTACAATATGAGTTTTGCTTGACAAACTAAAGTGCCACACAAACTCAGCTAGGTCTGTATGCTGTAAAATTAACTTTACTAGAGGACAACTCGATAAAAATCCACTTCCTGCTTTATGCATTCTTCTATGTCTTTCAAGAAGGATTGTGACACAATAGCAGGAACATTAAATCTCAGATCAAAAATTTCTTATTCACCAGTTCAGTCCTATCAAGTTCCCTGCAACTTCTTTGTTATCACTGCAGAATTAAAGCAAATACTTAATTTTATTTTTTCATGACAGACATCTAAAGAAATTGGCACTCTCTACATTGCACAGCCACATCTAGAATCCATATCAATATTGAATTACCAGTACTTTCCACATATCCTCCATTTTAACAAATTAAAACTGACCTAGCTGTCATGACTAGGAATAAAGAATCAAGTTGAGCTAGAAGCAAGCCAAAGTTACACCACATTTATGCTAACTCTCTGCTGGCATAGATGACATTTCAGTGTCAACTGAAAATACACAACATGGGCAGGGAGAACTAAATCTTCATGATTGAATTTTTAATTCAGATTCCATAGTGAGGGGTCTTACTTGCACATGACAACAGAAGGAAAATGATGACTGAAATTCATGATATCCAGTTGTGAATCCTACACCTTTCAGAGTTCATTCCTTGGACAAGGCTTGCCTACTAAAGGCCAAGACCACGTGCCCTTTATCCCACCCTGGTTCAAATACCTGTTTGTCTCACTGCCTTCAGAAGTGGCAAGGGCTTGGCAAATACTTTACAATTGTTCAGTTTTCCTTTTGTGAAACCAGTCATCAGAGCTCAATTAATGGAAAATGTTTTGGAAGAAGCTCTGGCTTGGCACAACAGGACTTGGCTGTTTACCTTTGTTCTTGTCAGTCACAGTATTTTGATTGCAACCCACCCTGTCTTTACTTACACTGTCAAGGAGATCCAGTTGTTGGTATTCCAATCTACTTCACTCAGCTCATTTAGAAATACAGGTGTTTGAGTGAATGCTTATCATGCTCTAACCCTTAGCTGCCATAACCCGTGTGGTAAATCTGTCAAAATAGGATTGTGTACGTCCTGGCCTAGCATCAAACTTTGTCAGATGAAAATCAAACAGCTTTGGGGTACACAATGAACCTACTTGGTCTCATCTGAACTTAAAAGTCACTCAAAAATTCATATGCAACCAGCTTCCAGGAAAGACAGGTCTTTTGCAAACTCTGAACAGAAAACTTAAGCAATGTTGAAGTGTTTTTAGAAAAATCAAAGTGAACAGGTTTACAGGTCACTCCTCACAATCTCATCCTTCTCATTTAATACAACTGAAAAAGTGAGTCTTAAGTAACAACTTTC